GCCACCGGGGCGAGCCCGAGATGGGCGACAAGAGCCGCCACGCGCTGGTGCGGAACTGCGTGGACATCGCCACGTCGGACAACCTGACGGACTTCCTGGTGGAGATGGGGTTCCGCATGGACCACGAGTTCGTGGCCAAGGGGCACGTCTTCCGCAAGGGCATCATGAAGATCGTGGTCTACAAGATCTTCCGCATCCTGATGCCCGGGAACACGGAGAGCATCGAGCCGCTCTCCCTCTCCTACCTGGTGGAGCTGAACGTGGTGGCGCCGGCCGGGCAGGACGTGGTGTCCGAGGACATGAGGAACTTTGCCGAGCAGCTGAAGCCGCTCGTGCACCTGGAGAAGATCGACCCCAAGAGGCTGATGTGACTGGAAAAAGCCGGGCAGCTCAGACGTCGGCTTTGTCAGGGGGTGTCGTTCTGAGATGCAGGCGGAGGGGAATCGGAGCAGGGAGAGGGGAATAAAGGGCTGCGTGTCACTCTCCTGCCCGCGGCAGTGGCTGGGTGTTTTTTCCTTTTCTCGTGGATGTAAACAGAAGCGAACACTTCCTTAAATTAATGCCATTCGAAACATCAGTGCAAGCTCATACTGTAAAGTTTCCCTGCTGCTGTTGGGGAGATGCCTGTTAAAAAGCATATTGCTTTTGAACCATCCAAAACCATCAGATTTAGCTGGAATCCTTTGTTCTGTGTTTCCACATCCCACTTCTACGTAGGGACTACACAGCATAAAAGCAATTGTATGTCTGTTTATGGCAGAACAGTAAAGTAACATTAGGTGTAGCAGGAACGGCTAAGATACAAGATGCTTCATAGTTAAACTGTTTCTGATATAACCCAAATTAGGAGTGGGAATAATTTAGCAGTATTACAATTGCAAGATGTTTTTAAATCTCTTAACACTGCTCCATCTTTTTCACTGAGGTTGGCCCCAGCAGGCTTAACCAGAGCAGACTTCTCACACCCATTGACATATTAAACAATTAAGAGCATCAAAAAGCTACTAACTGAACTACCAGTGATTGTGTTTAGGACTTCTCTTGATAGTAGGATGATCAGTTACCCTTCTTCTATTTCAATGATGCAAATAGAGTTCAAACAAAAAAGGGACTGGGACAAAAGCCAGCAGCTTGCCCTTCACAGCAGGCGGCGATTTCACCCCTTGCTGAAGTGCAGGAACATGCCCTACGTGGCCACTCTGCCATCACACAGCTCTCTGGGTAAACAGCTCCAGGCAAAGACCACTCCCACAGAAAGCTTAAAAAAAAGCCTTTTAAGTTGGCAGCTACATTTCAACACGGGAGTTTGGACCAGATCAGCCACGACAGCCAGATTGGTGCTTGCCAAGTGCAGGGTCCCAGGCCCCCCGCTGCTGGGGAGCACAGATCCTGCACACTGGGGTGAGACACCAGGAGGCTGAAAACTCCGTTGGAAGGTCATGGCTGTGTGGAAGCACCCAGGTGACTTCAGTGACTGCTCATGACCTGGACTGGAAATATTTTCTGGAAGGTACAGGCAAGCCTTCGGTTCTTCAGTTCATAGTCAGGCATGACTCACCCTCGTCAGGCAGCACACTGGTCTGGAATTCTTCAGGGTAGTGTTGGAGGGCAGAACTTCCCAGGGGGTGGGAGGGTAGATCCCAGAGCTCTGCCTGTGCCTGGAGCTGAACTCACTGGCTGCTCCGTGATTCAACTGCAGTCCCACCCCAGCAGGTGGGAATCCTCAGGGCTGTTGTCATAGCCTGCCAGTGAAACACTGGTTAGGAATTGCTTGCCACAGACTTCCACGCTCCACAGCTTGTCTCTTGTGACATGAGACGTTAGGAACCCACTGGATCAGAGGAGTTGAACACTGTATGCCAGCTTTTCAAAGGGTATGTATCTTTAAGTACAAAGACACACAGAAAGCAGTAAGTACACAGGTCCTTCCCATTGTGGGTCTGGTATTTTACTTTCCAAGCTTTGAAAGTGGAGAGAAAAATCACAGGTGGCTGATGTTAACGTAATGGTGATAGAAGGTCCCACAGGGAACTTCAGGCAGACTGGCTCAAGCAGGAGTCAGAATGGAAAGTTCCTCACTGAAGTTTTTACACTTCAGATGACCTGACGTCTGACTCACGACTGAAGATGAGTGAGGTCTAAATTGCTTGCCCTAAGTTCTCAAAAATAAAAATAACAATTTAAAATAGTTTTAAAATTATAATCAGTTTAAACTTTAAAAATCACAGCAATCCACACTACCAGCCTTCCTCACTCCATCTGCTGTGCATGCACAGAACAGGCAGGTGTACAGAGAAAAAAAGCTTGCTGCAGCAAAAAGTTACAGCTGGATTTAAATGGACCCTTCCAGGTACCTGATGCTGAAAAAGTGTATCCCTTTTTTTAATCCAAGAAAACACACTTATCTTCTCCTACAAAACTTAGCTTATCTATCTGGAGTCTAAAGATAATAGCAATATTATTAGGAATACACAGTGGTAAATTGCATGGCATAAGCCCAGCTATTCCATCATGCGTAATTTAGGGTCAAATTACATCGCAGCTCATTGCACAGACATCTGCAGCAATGTCCAGCCACTCCTTACTGGATAGTTTCTGTTTTTCAAATCACATACAGAACATAGGAGGCCAAGACTGTGACTGTATTATTTTGGGTTATTTCATTTTGCCAGCTGAAACAGCTGCATTCTTCAAGAGCAGGGCTTGCTCACCTCAGGACACTGTTGCAGTACACGATCCAAGGCCTGATGCTGCTGTGCTTCAGCTAAGTTTTCTTTTTGTGTTCCTTCGACCCATCCCACAGGGAGGTCTGCTGCCTCCCTGGGGCCTGGGTCAGAGATGTTACTAAGAAACTCTCTAGTCTGGTAGGGGCCTCTGACTATTATCTATTACTAGTCATACAGCTTGGAAGTGATGAGATGGAGGACAGAAGTGCCAAAGCAATTAAGAAGGACTTCAAGGCACTGGGGCAATTGGCTGAAGGATCCAGCCCTTATTGGATGAGAAGGGGAACATGGCAACCAGGGATGAAGAGAAGTCTGAGGTACTTTATACCTTCTTCGCCTCCATCATCCATTAGTCAGACCAGCTGCCCTCAGGATATTCAGCCTCCTGAGCTGGAATATAGGGATGGAGAGCAGAACAACCCCCCACAATCCATGAGGATGCAGTCAGAGACCTGCTGCAGCACCTGGACACTCAAAAGTGTATGGGGCAAGATGGGATTCACCCAAGGGTACTGAGAGCTAGCTGAGGAGATTGCCAAGCTTGTCTCCATCATCTACCAACAGTCCCAGATGACTGGAGGTTTGCCAATGTGATGCCCATCTACAAGGAGGGCCTGAAGAAGGATCCTGGGAACTACAGGCCTGTCAGCCTGACCTCAGTACCATCAAAATCATGGAGAGACTCATCTTGAGTGTGCTCGCATGGCAGGTGCAGGACAGACATGGAACCCGGCCCAGCCAGCAGGGGTTCAGGAAAGGCAGGTCCTGCTTGACCAACCTGATCTCCTGCTATGATCAGGTGACCCACCTGGTGGATGAGGGAAGAGCTGTGGATGTTGTCCTTCTGGACTTTGGAAAGGCCTTTGACATCATCTCCCACAGCATCTCCTGGAGAAGCTGGTGGCTCATGGCATAGACAGGTGCACTCTCTGCTGGGTTAAAAACTGGCTGAGCCCAGAGTTGTAGTGAGTGGAGATGGATCCAGCTGGTGGCTGGTCACCAGTGGTGTCCCCCAGGGCTCAGCTTTGAGGCCAGTCTTGTTCAGTATCTTTATTAATGACCTAGATAAGGGGATGGAATGCTTCCAAAGTAAGTTGTAAGTTTGCAGATGAGACTAAGCTGGGAAGACGTGTTGATTTACTTGAGGGTAGGAAGGCTCTGCAGAGAGACCTGGACAGACTGGACTGATGGGCTGGGACCAACTGTGTGAGGTTTAACAAGGCCAAGTGCTGGGTCCTGCACTTTGGTCACAACAACCCCATGCAAAGCTACAGGCTGGGGAAGAGTGGTTGGAAAGCTCCATGGTGGAGAAGGACCTGGGGGTGCAGTTGACAGCCAACTTAACATGAGCCAGCAGTGTGCCCAGGTGACCAAGAAGGCCAGTGCCATCCTGGCCTGCATCATGAATAGTGGGACCAGCAGGAGTAGAGAGGGGATCGTGCCCCTGTACTCAGCACTGGTGAGGCCACACCTGGAGTATTGTGTCCAGTTCTGGGTCCCTCACTACAAGAAGGACATTGAGGTGCTGGAATGTGTCCAGAGGAGGGCTACCAAGCTGGTAGAAGGTCTGGAGAACAAGCCCTGTGAGGAGCAGCTGAGGGAACTGGGATTATTTAGTTTGAAGAAGAGAAGGCTGAAGGGAGACCTCATTGCTCTCTACAACTACCTGAAAGGAGGTTGTAGGGAAGTGGGAGTTGGCCTCTTCTCCCAAGTGAATAATGACAGGACCAGAGGAAATGGCCTGAAGCTGCACCAGGGGAGGCTTAGACTGGATATTAGAATGTCTTTACCGAACAAGTGGTTGGACAGCGGAACAGGCTGCTCAGGGAGGTGTGGAGTCACCATCCCTGGAAGTGTTTAGAGAAATATAGATATAGTGCTTAGTGACATGATTTAAACACTGAATGGGTAATTAGGTTATGGTAGGGGGTTTAGGTTATGGGTGGACTTGATGATCTTCAAGGTCCTTTCCAACCAGGATGTTTCTATGATTCTAAGCTGTTCCTTCAGCCTTGCATACTTATGAGGTTTCTACAAATCTACTGATTACCATATAAAAAGTAGAAACCTCTACATAACAAATAAAGGTAGGATTGCTACTTATCCATTAAGAACCAGGTATTTCTGCTATGATGAAACCTTGCTCTACAGAAGAAGCTTGTCTCAGTTTTAAAAAATTGTTCTTACTTCAGAAGATTTATCTTCTGACATCTCTTAGTCCTGGATCTCTATTCTTATGACGGAAGCTCCCATAATGTTAATTCTGTACAAACAAAGACAAGAGCTGAAATACTCTGGGAATGCTCTATATTAAGACTGTACTGTACAGGAACATCTTTTAGCAAGCCTCTGACAGGCCAGCACAAAATAAGATCTTCAATATATAAATCAATGTGGCATTCAAGTTTTCATCTCAGTAATACAAGCAAACTTCTTTCCTGTTAAATGTTTTCCATATATTATAATACTGCATATAACTTTATCCATGATCTAAAAGTTGCTTAAAAAGCAAACATTTTAGGCTACTTTCTCCAAAGCACTGAACATTAAAAATAACTACAAACCAGGATTTTTCTTTGTAATTTTTAATAGTTTTCACTTTTAAATACTGGTTTTAAATTTGTGATTGTAACATGGAAGAGCCAACTTCTTTGAATTTTTAAAACTTACCATTAGGATCATAAAGCTATTATAGAACAAACAGTTACACTCTACACACTCCAGGTACTCAAAAATATGATTCATGTTTTAGGTCTGTAGATGAACAGTGGCAATTCAAATACAGCATTATCTGTACAACTTGACAAAATACAGGTGGACAATCTGATTAAAGAGAATCTGCACAACTTCAAATAAGCCAGCTCAGCCCAATTAAGTAAAAAGTAATATTTTTCAAAGTGCATCACATTTTTCAGAGATAAATTTGTCAAAATAAGACGTTCAGGTTCTCAAGACAGGATAACACAGGATAAAAATTACCATCTCTTCCTCATTTCTAACTCAAGTTCTATCAAGTAATTTCCTTCAGATCTAGTTTGGGACTGTCCAGATTCTCCAGATGGACACAGATATTCAGAGAATGGTATCTCTGAAGGAGAGGACTGCTGTGTTCTCTGCCCTTCAAACTGGTTCAACTTATAAAAGCACCCATTCTAGAGTCAGGAGCTGCTTCTGCAAAGACCACCACAGCTGTATAAATACCACCAATCACTAACAGCAAGAAGTGAACTCAGTGCACAGGTAAGTGGCAGTGACTCAAGAGGTATGGGCTCATGAGAGAGGGAAATTTTATAAAACCATAAAAGATCCCTTTCCAGATGAAAAGATTTAAGGGCTACTTGCACACAGACAGTCTTGAGGCCTACAGAGAACTTCCTTTTAAAAATTTGGGTTTAGGTAGATCAATTAATACCGATTTCTCCATCTTGCAACTCCTTGCTTATTCTTTAGAAGCCTCTTAAAACTCTTATTGGGCAGGGCTAGCTGTAGTGAAGTACCAGTGCCTGTATCTGAAAGTAAAACATATTCTTTACAAATAGTATCTGTAGTGTAATTTTATTTACAGAATAAATCGCAAAAGTACATCACATTTAGTGCAAATGCAACTAATGATATAAGTTTATATACTGCTTTGTAAACTTTCCATACATTTGTAAAATAAAGCTATCCAATGAAATTAATAAACTTGCCTGTGTTCCAACAATTACCAGAAATGGCAAATAAGGAGTTTAACTCTTCATATTTTGGATTTATTTCTTGTTTTGAAGTTCCCATCAGTGGCTATGGTAGAATGAACCATTGCTTGGTTGATTGTAAAAAGATGAAGTGCATCTGAGGTATAAGATTTTTTTTTTTTTAACATTGTGATATAAAATGCTCACTGGTGATATAGTAAACATGTACAAATTTTCATCTTATTTGCCTTACTAGCATTACCATATAGGCACTTTTCTACATATTCAAATTAACAGAACAACTCTGTAATAAGGCATATTCCATGCACACCATAAGAAAAAGGCAAATAAAAAGGGAAGAGTTATGGGGCATGAAATCTGCATGCATGTTTAATCATGTTCTATGTACGATTTCATCTCTACAGAGAAGGTGAACAGATGAAGTTTTTCAACAATCTGCAGATCACATTTAATCATTTACCAAATCTCCATTAAGTTACTATATAATATTTATTTTCAAGCACCTATCACACTATATCAAATAAAGACTTTCAGCTTTCTCTTGAAAAAAATATATCTGAAACCTTGTTCTCAAGATACACAGGTTAGTGAAACACCGAGCAGTCTTGGAAGAGTTTCCAACAATGGGACATGTATAAAAGACCTCAAAGTCAGTACCAGTCTGCCACAGTCCTCTTTGAATGAATATCCCCAGAATCAAAGGCAGGCACATGTCTGACATTTAAATTCTCACAGCAACTAAAGGGAACTTTCCAGTAAAAACTATAGCTCTGATGGGTTTTTGATCAAGAGGCAAATAATTTTCTACATGAGCCTCACAGCATGGCTTTATTAACATGAAAAAAAAACATGCAGGATCCAAAAATCAGGTTCTCATCCTCACTCTAGACTGGGAATGTTGTCTTATGTAGTCCAAATTACTTCAACATATATTCTAGTGTACCTTCTCACAGCTTCAGGAAAGCCCTGGACATCATGCAAGAAAGCAGTCCACATACAGCATGGACAGATGACTTCTGGCTTTCAGGCAGCCTCTTGCCCTCTCATACAGAATCTCCATAGATATTTCTGGATCATGTTTAATAACAAAAATTCTGTAGCACATATTGCATAACTAAAAAATACAATAGAAATATAAAGATATCTGGAAAAAAAAAAAAAAGCTTTTCACACTCTTACTCCTTCAGAACCAAAGATCTTCATAAGAGTAAGACAATACAAAAGGCAAAGTCATAATGATATTGACAGCCCTCAGTTATAAACTGACATTTTCTGTAACAAGATGATTCATTATAGAAACCAGCAGCAATGAACTGTGATTATACAAAGCAAAACAAAACCTGCCAATAAGTCACATAGGCTTTGCTGAAGTCCTTCTCCTTCCACCAAAATACCGCATAGATTTTTGTGCATATAAAGCACATACAGGATGCTATATGTGCATTTGTCTTTTGTGCTTTTTAGACATGCACAAAAACTGTGTGATATCTTAGGAAGGCTGACAGTGAAATTCTGCAAGTTCTTTAAAAGTAAAGCAGTAATCCCCATTGGTAATTCAAAGTTGTATGTGTTCTTCTAAAGCAAGCAAATAAAAATAGAGCCATATACATGTTATCAATACATGTATTTATAACTACACTTTGATTCAGCAAGAAAAGTTAGCAGGAGAGAGCTAGTGTTAAAATATTCAGCCTCATGGTGTTGCAAGACTTCTTCACTTCCGTATACAAAGCCTAGAACTTGGGCTATTAAAAAGACTGTAGATCCTTCGTTCCAGAATGGAGTGCTCTATGCATGGTCACTTCTCCAAAGTGGAATGCTCACTCAGTCTCGTTCTTAGCACTGCAGGTAAACAAGGACAAAAATACAACACTGAAAGGTTTACACTAATAGGAAAACAACAGCTTGTTAAACACATTGAATAATATCAGCACTGCTATGATCATGTTTGAACTGTTTGCACTTGACAGCCGTGTTCTTAATGGTTCACCTACATTATTTCCCTAACTATAAAATTAAAAGAGCGAATCATTACAGGGTCACCTGCTACAGAGGGATCAAATTACTATGACTTTGAAGTCTGACATAATGAACAGAACCAAAACCAGAGGTACCCTGTGTCATAAGTAGAAAAAGCAATAAAAACTGATTTTCAGGTCATACTGTAATCCTACATTACATACTGTAATACTGTAAAACTACCAAATGGAATCAAATGGTTTGACACTAGTTGTACATAATGAAGTATATAGCAAGAGTCTACGCTAACATTAAGCAAAGCCTTACTTACCACTAAGGCAGATGTCTGACATTCAAACAGCCCCAGAAGTGATAAATAATTCACCTTTTAATGTCATATAATCATTTAAATGTTAAATCAATTTTATATTAGCCCAATGACCTAAACCATTAAAAAACATCTATTTACTTCATAGTACAGAGGAAAGCATCTGTAAAACATTTCTCTCTTAGGCTCATCAGAAAGGCTAAAAATCTAAGTCACAGCTTTTAAAACACTCCAGTAATTGACAATGATCTGCTGGAAAAGTTCCATTAAAAAAAATTCTAGATCAAAACTAATCTGCCAATATAAATGATCTGAACTTCATAATATTCTGTCAAATATGCAATTATAAGTAGAATTTAAGGTATCAAAACCTTATGATCTTCTACAGAAACTTCAGTATGTATTTTTTTCAGACTAAGTGTGACTTGTACAGCCCTTATTTTTCATGCTTATAATACACACAAATTATATGAATGTTTTAAAAAGTATACTTCATACATATATTGAAACTAACCACTGAATTAATGCTAATAATTGTATTTCCAGATTGCATACTTTGGCCTTAAATTTAAATAGTAAATTAAGAATGTAAAAAATGAATGTGTACCTGCTAACACTAGAATAAAATAGGCTTTCCTGCTGTTTTTTCTTGCACATATGATGTAAATCGCTTCAAGAATTTCGGATATTCTCGTCTTGCCACTGCCCGTAACACTGATGCTGGTGCCCACCCTCCTGGGTTCACTAGGAGTAAACAGGAGGAAAGACACTGAAATACAGCAAATCTACTAAAGGCTAGAAAAGAATATTTGACATCCTGAAACAGGAAAGAGCAATGATTGGCAGATTTTTTTTTATTTTTATTGCTTTACAGCTTGTATTGCAGCACTTTCTACTTAATACTCAATCTCAGCCCAGTTCTGTGACATCACTACTTAGAAAACATTAAACACGATGTGCTGTGAGTCTTTGGGGAATGTCCAGAGGGGAGGTGATATTCTCTAAGAACTTCCAACAAACAACAGAGAGATATGAGATACTTGTTTCAAAGGAAACCAGAATCAGTCTTAACTTCCAATAAATTATGCATTTTTCTGCAGCATTGTTACATAGCCAATGTCTTACAAATTATTTTTAAAGCACTTTAAATAAAATTCAAACTGACTCTAAATTATGCTTCAATTTACACTTCTCAAAAGGAAACAAAATGGCTCACCCCAGAGTTTATCATATAGTACAATTTGTACAGGATTTAACACAAATTACATCAATCCTATAGGGCAAACATTTACTGAACCACTTTTTCAGATTTTGACTCTTTAAGCCATGTAACAGGTTGTTAAAAGTAACAAGCATGCAAGCTACTCTGAAGAGTGTTTTGTGGCTAGCAGGAGAGGAGCTAATAAGTATGCAGCTCCAATACTACAACACACAGCTAAATACTGGGCACTGTAATAAAGCAGTTTGGCTTTGGCCACTTTTCAGTCAATACCAAGGGTTCCATCAGTTTAAAAAGTAAAGAAAAATGTAGACTAAATCATACAGCTTGCTAACATCCTCATACAAAATGTGTAACTGTAAGAACTGTTATCTTTTCTTACATGCAGCTTTTCAGCCTACCAAGATAACTCAGAGGAAAACAAATTACAGCAATATACAATACAAACATAGCACTAAGGAACCTAAAAGCTATGCCGAGTCATCCCAGTTGCAGATATTTCTTCTGCCCACCCTGCTCCACCCCAGTGAGAGCTGAGCTCCACACCACTTCCATTTACTCCTCCCAGAATACATATGCTATACACAAATTTAACAGAAAACTGCGCCAACACTGCACTCTGTATTCAGTTCCCCAGAATTAGCATATACCATGAATGTCATACTGAAAAATTTTAGACTTACCATTAGCTACATAAGTGATCTTGCATAGGATGTTGTCCCTGCTTATTTCCTTATTTCCCTCTGGTGGGCTTACTAAAGTCTGACAAATCATAGCAATATTTATTTTGGCACGGACACATCGATTGTTCAGCTGCCAAAAAAATGAAACATTTGTAAGCCTCAAATTGCATTTATTTCAGCATACTTGACTGGTAACGTTTTAATTTGCTGTGAAGTCTAATACACCACAGAAGGTCTGTTTCTGACAGTTTGCATTCTAGCACTACATGGATGTAATATCAGAGAGAGAAAAGAAAGGTACATGGTGAACAGGGAAAGGGTTAAACTAAGCTGCCTGAATCTCAGGTTTCTGCTTGCTAAATATTTATTACAAGTGAATTACTTCAATTATGTAGCAGCATTTAGTAACTTTTCTCTTGTAAGCAGGCTATAGCACAGCAATCTGCACAGAAACAATGCGAAGAAAATAATCATTACTACTATCTGAAGGAACCAAGGAAGAACTGTGTAAGGTTGGATCCAGGTGATCTTTAAGGTCCCTCCCAACCCTAGCCATTCTATAATTCTATGATTAACAGATTCCATATTTTCAGTTATATAAGCCTACTCCTACAATGACAAATCTGAAGAGTTATTGATTTGATTCTGTTCAAAATAACTGCAATTCTTTAAAATGTTTTCACATCTCCAGAAATTTTGCTTCCATTCTACTCCAACACCTCAGATCTGTTCAGTTAAGGCAGGAAAGCTTTTGGCTCAAAATTACTTCATCAAGTCATTGTATCACCTGGTTTAAATAAACTGTATTTTTGCATAACTCCCACCTCCTTCACACTAGTATTGCACATGCATGGCCACACCATCATCATCATAATCATCATAAAGTATCTTAAAAGCAGAAATTGACTGAATGAAAACAGTACTTACAGGAGCGCTGTCATGCTCCACAGAGAAATTGCACACAATCCACGTCTCAGGATCATTTTCACTGAATGCTGGTATCTTTTTGATGGCAGACAAATATAGCACATCCCTTTGAGAAGCAGGCCACACCCTCTGCAGAGAAACACTTCAGTATAAGCTTTTTCAGTTTTGCAAATTAAGTACTTACTAGCCTTACATAAAGGAAAAAACGAGCAAGGCAAACCAGGTCAGTCATGTTATTTAAGCAAAATTTTCTTCAAGTTAGTAATTTCATTTTCAAAACTGAAGCAGGGCATAGCTATTGACCAGCTGTGTATCCAGTTATAAAGCTACGCTTAATTTAAAAATAATTAAGGCAAAAGCTTAATGCCTTTCAAGTGCAGGAAGCCAAGCTGCAATGACTTTCTCTGTAGACAAACAGGATTATAAATAGATGCACTGACAGTTACTATGTCTCCAGAGAGACAGAGGGAGAGAAATATTTAAAAAAATATAATTTTAAAAAGCTACTACTTCAGTAACAGAGATACAGTAAATATATATTATGTAAGCAGAAGTTTCAAAGGCAAAATATCTAATAAAATAAGAAAATATACAAAAGCCATTTTCCCGACACCTAGTTGGGGAAAAAAATGTCTAGATTTTATCACAACACTGTACAGTCTGTAGACCTGTCTTATCATGAATCCTCTGTTACAGAAGTTTTGAGGTAACCACATTACTGGTAAAATTGTTACAGAAAAATATTTGCTTAAATATTTGAGTATATTAATACTTGGAATCCTGCAAGATGAAAGATGAATCTACACTTCATTCCTGGTTTTTTTGACTTTAGAGCAGTTAGGTTCCAATTCAAATAAACACTTTGGTAAAGCTACACCAGAACTGGCTGCAGGGGAAGAGGAGGGGAACAAGGTTATATAAACATATGAACAAATGTTGTACCAGTAATTATATCACCTTGTAGTGCAAATGTGCATATCAACTAATTGTGGGCAACCATAGCTTGCATTATACCAACAAAACACATGATACAGTGGTATGGACATCTTCCCTGCAGTCAGCATTGATTCATTGCTTCCATTTGCTTTGATGACTCTTGCTTGCTGGCAGTGATATATTTAGGGATTAAAAACAGCCCTCATTTGTTATTGCAAACTCTATTAGACAGATGCATGACGAATTATGCTATCAAGACAAGTTTGAAAAATTGACAGTTGTAGTTTACCAGAGACCTTCCAAAATGTTGTTCTCAACAGTATCTTAAATTGTTAAGCCACTGAAGTATTCCAGAGTATGATTAGAATATATATTGCCCAGACTGTATCAGTAAGGTTTGCATACAGTTGAAGTGTTATTACCTTATGTGTCTGGTAAATGATGATTGCATTATCAGCTAAATTTTCCACAACATGGAAATTTTCAATTGTTGCTAGAAGAAGAGAGTAAAAAAAAAAAATCCATCAGTAAACAAGGACAGACATTAGGTCAGTGTTATAAACAATATCCTTGCTGATAAGCAAGCAAAGCTTAAGAACCAATTCCTTACTTTCCCAGTCATTACGAACATCAACGTTCCAGAAGTAGTGGCAAACTTCATGCCCTGTTACCCCTTTAACAGCATGGGTTGCTTTCAAAGGATCTAAAACAATACCATTCTCTTCCACCTCTCTTCTGTATACCTATTGCCAAATACAAAGAAGGAAATGTAGAACAGAATTTGTCAACGTTGTTCATGATTTAATTGTTTAAAATGTTATTAGTTTTTTTTTAAAAAAAACACTTACATAGAACACATGAATAATTTCCTGTATCAATGTTCTCTGGTAACTACCTATGCAGGCATTCTTTCATAGAATCACAGAATGGTTTGGGTTGGAAGGCACTGCAAAATTCACCTAGTGCCCACCCCCCTGCATGGGAAGGGACACCTCCCCCTAGACCAGATTGCTCAAAGCCCCATCCAACCTGGCCTTGACTACTTCCAGGGAGGGGGCATCCACAGCTTCCCTGGGGTAGAATATGGCATGGCAATTCACTTTAAAATACCAATATTGTAAGAAATTCTATTCCAAAACTGACTAAGCTGTCACTATGCACAAGTATCCACACAAGCTTGGTAGGGCAGCCAACACAGTAACTTGCTACTCTGTAACATTTTCATACATTCCATTTACATATCATTTTGATACCAAGTGTGAAGTAGGAGAGAATGAGAAAGGAATCTGCAAAGACAAAGCTAATTTAAGAGTTACACAGGATTTTGTATGATTAGATAGATTAGCAGCCTCAACTCTTTTAGACTTCAGTCCTAACTTAATGCTATTTTCAGATAGAAGTTTTTAAAAGCCTAACTTGCTCAGGGATAGCTTTCCCAGAGAATCATAGAATCATTTACATTGGAAAATACCCTTAAGATCATTGAATGCAACTGTAAATCTAACACTGCCAAGTCTACCAGAAAGTTTTTGTCTTCACAGAATATCATCTTACATCAATTAAACAAAACCTCAAACATTTACCTTCATTTCTCCTTCTTCTACCACTAGCTGCCAATTGGCATCTCCTCCTACATCTTGCAAGGAATATGTCATATGGTTTTGTACCATCTCTTCCACCTAGAACAAAAAAAATAAACAAACAAAACAACAGATTTTTAACTCATTCCTTCCATCTTTCTTTGGCTGAGACTTTACAGTACTGGAAGTCACAAGTCAATACTTCAAATCCTGTGCAGGAGCTGACATTGGACAACAGAGCTTTCTATTAGAGGTTAAGAACAAATAGGTCTAGCCTTCAAAAACAAAAGCCAAAACCTTGATTCAACTTCCAGTTTAATTCTATATAGGTACTTCCTGTCCTTCCTTTCCACCTCCAAACTCAAGTGTCTCTATTTCTACCTAAGAGAGTTTCATTTCAGCATACAGGAGCTCCAGGTATCTCTAAATAGAATTACAATGCACTGCAAGATATTTACTAAAGAGCATTTAAAAACCTGAATGAAAGTGGGGGGATGAGGAGGAAAGCAGGCAAGCTCTAAAAAAGTGAATGCATATCAAAAGTTATTTTGGAAGAGGAGCAAAGGAAAATGTCATGAGCAAAGCATGCCTATTCTGTTTCACGGGCATCTTTGCACAGTTGCCAGCTAGAAAAGAAGAACATAAATACTTGCATTAAAAAAAAATTATGAAGAATTGGAGACTCTACTATCATAAAAATCTAATTATTTAGCTGAGAGCTGTGTGCTTTTCTTAAAGGCCAAATATTTGATACATTTTAATCGAGCTAGTGAATACCTAATTTTTAAATTCCATATAATATGCCAGGACAGGAAATGAATTTTCATTTTAAATCTGCAATCTTATGCTTCTTTGGTTTTCCCACCCCTTTCCAAATCCCACTCGCCCCCAAATAAAAACGTAAGCAAAAATACAAGATATCATTGTTGCATAATGTGACAAGTCCTGGCAACACTTTTAATAACTTTTTTTCCACCATAAGTAGGTAACTACTAGAACTTGTCACAGCAGGTAGGTCCACGAGACTGACACCATTTTCCTGAATTACTAGAAACACCCATTTTTTTTCAAAATGAAAAGCACTACAAGCAAAGGTTAGTTAATTGACAACAATGATTAGTTTAAGAAATGCACAAGCACAGGATTAAATCTCTAAACCCATAAATGTTTTTGCACAATTTATAAAAATATGAAGCCTAGTGTGCATAAAAATAACAAAAAAATTGAGCAAATAGTACAATAAAAAGCAAGTTTAAAGAATACTAATGATCTTTTTCTGATATAATGTTGAAAAATGTTACTTTTAGTTTAAAGCAGTAACTTTGTTTGTACTACATACTCCATGGGCAATACACTTAAGACTAGGAAGAAAAAAGGTAATTGTATTGTCAAAATCCTCAAAGTACAACATCAAAACAAAATCCACTAGATGGAAATTCTAGTTTATCCTACTTTAACTATAGACTTTTCTAAAAAAGCCAAAGTTATCAGTCCAGTTTTTTTGTTTTTTCTTTGGGGTTTGTTATAATGAACTAAAAACACACAAGATTTCTATTTCTGCTTTTACACAGGTCATCTGTTCCCACCAGTTACTAGCAAGTTTCCTACAAAAGATTTGTTTATTTATTTTCCCAGTGAAACAATGACAATACAAATCCAAACCAGGTAAGAAGGTGGGTATTTAAATATCCAATTTACTAGCTCTAGGTCACACTTCTTTCAGAAAGGAATCCTTTTCCATGCTGCCAGCGTTTACCTGCAACACCTTCAGGTCTCTGTGTCTCTTCTCTGCTAGTTCTATTAAGGACAAAGATAGCTTTTACAGGTTTGGTTTTGTCATTTGCTACTTTATGCTAAATCCAGAGGGATGCGTGGAACAGCAAGAAAAGAAGAGAATTAGGCATCCACAGGAGAGCAATCTAAACAGTTTCTTACTTCTGCCTCACCAAGGAACTGCAGTACATGCCCTGTGCATACTACCTGTCCAAACTGTATGTAATTCACACACTGCACTATTATTATTAATCTGCACTTATTTCAGAGGCACAGAGTCAAGATTCACAGCTTCTTTCCCACCAGGAAGGCCAAACTATTACCTCTGGGTTCCTGGCTGGCTACAAGAACAGTCTGCAAAAATACTGCTAAGCTGCATGCCATGCAGCCTTGGCCTGAACATTAAGTTGAAAGTTCCTCACTTCGAAGACTCTCAGAACAGCTAAATCTATTTTAAAATTTTTTAAAAGACACTAATCTACAAAACATCTACAGCGTTTTAAACCCACAATCTCCCACTCAACTAGCAGAGACGAATGCCTTTCTAGAGACACACTAAGAATCAGCTCCCATCAGAATATATGCTTTTATTTCCCAATCTTAAAAACAAGGTTTTAAGTTTCTAGTTGACCATTTAGTATCAAAATCCCATTTGTATGAACGAAGCCTAGAAACAAGTCACATTTACTCAGAATCAAGATACTAGTTTGCCTTTCCAAAAGCCAAATAGTCAGCCTGCAGACAGAGGTCAATTAATAAGGTCAAGAGCAGGCTGCCAGCAGAAGAAGGTACACTGCTTTTCTCTTCACACTCTGCTGTGTTTCACATGCTTGTCCAGTAGTAATGAAGCTCCACAGCAGGTGGACTGACTTGTTGATCGGGCAAAAATTTGTTCTAGGGAAAATACTGGTGGGGGGGCAGTAGAGAGGCAGGGGAATGTGTGGGGGAAGAGTATTTTCCTGTAAGTTAAGATCATCTTCCTTTCTGCAATAAGCCCATCGGCTTCAAACTGCATTTGAAAACACTCAGAAGTAACTCTTCCCTAGTACCATCTATGCAGCAGCTGAAAAGAGCAATGGCTTGAGCCCACTCCATTTGATCCTGGTCCTTAAGGTCAATGTACATTATTGTGATAAGAATCTGGCCAACCTCAGGTATGTTTTTAAATTATTTGAGTTTCAGCCACACTACTGCTCTGATACTCAGGTTTATCATATTATGCCCAAATGTTATCACAGGCATAAAAAAGAGGTGGAAATGAGGAGGCCTGGATATTTTACCAACTATGAGTTTCCCTTACACTGCACTGTCTACATACCCATAGCCTGACAAACAGTTCCTATTTTTGGAATCAAAAGTGCTTTCTATTACTTAATTTCCCTCCTCCTTCCAAGAAAAAAGAAACTAGAAAAATGAACTTGACTACTACACTGCCAGTAAATGAACCTACAGTGTTGTGCAATATGACCTGCATAGTTTTTCCCTTGCATAAGTTCACATTTCAGAAATTGATTGCAAAAGGTCAAAGCAAGTGTTGGGATTTCAGACCAATAAGCAAGTCTTTAAGTGTTAGGGTCCTGCTCATAAAGCTGGCAATAAGGTCTGCAGATGGTATGATTCCAGGCTCTGTTCACCAAAAGAAAACCCATTTCTTCTCTTTGAAAAAGCACACTGCTTGCAGTATTAGTTAATAATTAAAAAAAATAAAAGCAACAGATCCCGGAAGGAAGTTTCATATTCACAGTCACATATGAACCACAACAGAGGGTAAATATTGGCATGCATGCCATGTCTGAACAACATTGAGAATACAGAGCAAACATGAACTCACCTATCTAATTCTACTCTAAGCTGTGATCTTCAGAGCAAGCACCTAGGTTAATTTTGTACATTACTGGAAGATGTCACTGTGACTACACTGACATATTGAATAAGTGAGACTTTTCTGAAGGATAAGTAAATATATTGAAAATCTTCAGTAAAAATTCTTGTACCCACAAGGTTGTTTGTCAACAACATACTTTATGACCTTTCAGTCACAAAATTAGCTGTAAAGGTAAACAATTATTATAATGAACCTTAATATTTAGCATCTTAATGTCATTACAAACAAATGTTAAAGACAAAAATCAAGCCCTTGATTTAAAAGGAAGAAAAACTATTCAATTTGAAGCAAAGACCATCTCCAACCCACACAAACAAGTGTTATTCTGCTTTTATTACCATCAGAAATGCAAAACTTCCAAATCGTAGACATTTTTACTAAAACTACTGAATTAAATCCAACAGTTTCACAAGATCTGGGCCTCTGCACAAATGATATGCATGCAAGCAGAATGTAAAAAGACAACCATTTAGTACAGGAATAGAGAACTCCTTTGTTTGTCTCAATGTACTAGTTTAAAGCAAGCAGTGACTTATGTAACAAAAAACCCAGGTTCTAGAGGAGAGGATGAAATACAGCAAAGATATGCAACCCCCGCTCTACAGATTAATACGGTACCTGGGCGCTGAATCTGTGAACATCATCAGAGGCACTGACTAGATCAATGGAAGACATGGAGGAAGAGCGACTATAGGGCTACCAGAGACAGACAAAGAAAAAACCAAGTAATCAGAACAAAGGCACAACAGAGCATTCAGTACCAACTTGTCAGCACAAGATAATGAAGAAAAGGAAAACAAAAGCACCATAAGCAGCAAGCACAGCAGCTAATGCTGATTTCATGCACCTATTATGTATTATGCTCCCAGTGTAGCCCTGAGAGGAGCACAGTGTTTCCAGTAACACTAATAAAAAGCCAACCTATCTTGATACAAGTGACATTTTTTTTATTTAAATGACATCATGTCACTGAATTTTGCTGAAGGTCTTTTAAAAACACTGAGGTTAGCAAGTTGGGATTTTTCCTTCTACTGTGTAACTGACAAGCTTGATACAGCTCAAGAGTATTCTAAATAGATACTCATATCACTATTTTTTGAGCAACAGAAAACACTTTCCCAATTCCAGGCACTTAATTTGAAAATGAGTAAACCATTTAAAGTTACTAGAAACACCTACTAAATTTCCTATGGATATGTGATTTATTTAGAAAGAAATATTATAGGTCAGCCCATTATCCAGAGGAGATCATGAGAGTATCTTACCTTTTGGACAAATCGATGAGTCCCCACAGCAGAATATGCATCTCCAGAAGGTAAGGGTGCTGGCCAGTGTAATCTCACCTTTTCACTTTGGGACTGCAACAAAATAGGACCAAACATAAAGGTTTGATTATTAGTAATCAGCTGCTGCTGGGTACACTATGAAATCAAGTGAGTCATCCTCAATCTACATAGTAGCTACAACTACTGCTGTCCATGACAGGCATGAAACTGTCATCCCACTGAAACTCTCAGTAAGTTAATGGGCCTGAAGACTATTTTTCTATACTTTAAGGTTTATTTCTGATTTAAGGAAAATAGATCAGCAGTATTAAGAGCATTAAGGATCCATGTAGTAGTACAACAGTCACTCAAAACTTTTACTCTTCACTGAGCCCCCAACATCGTAAACTCTCTTGGCTACTACGTGCCCTTGCCACTATACTAGCAAGTCTAATTCTTAACCAAGTCATTGTGTTCACTGTATTCATAAGCCTAAACACTTTAAAAGACAAAAGGATGCATAGCTTTTTTATTCCATCTCATTTTACATACTGCCATACATTCTCATATTCTAGATAATTTCATCACATGCATCTGATTCCCTTTTCATCCTTGCCACTGATGTCTATTCAAGAAATGAGTTACAGAAGTAGCCAGAGCCTCCAGAATTTTCATAAAAAGAATCAGCAACAGAACTGTCTTCCTTATTTCATATACAGCAAGAGTAAAAAGAAACTTCACAGCAAGATTCTGGTTTTGAGAAATAGCTGCAGTGTTTGCTACTCTTACTTGCACAGAGTATCAGTTACCAACAGGACAATCATTTAGGATTTGGAAACTTAGAGACATTCAATCAGCTTAACACTTAAACTATGCTTTTCTATATATGCTATGAAGTCACTTTCTCAGAATTAGTTAAGCAACAATATTCAACTGTAAAAATATTAAGTTAATTCCCCTTATCACTGCCAGAATAAAATATCTAGAGCTTCAGGGGATGCACCCTAAGACTGAGTTTAAGTCACAGAAATCTCCCATAAAGTGTCCATCATAAGGCACTTTTCAAGTATCAGTACCTGTTCTTCCATTTTATCCTGTCTATCGAGAGCAGCTTCAACAGCATCAAAGAATTCTTCTTCATTAATCAAACTATTAGGACCCTCCTAGGGCATAAGAAAAAAAACCTAGTTCAACATTTTGGAGACATGACAGTTCCACTTAAGTTTAATATTAGAAATACATGTTCATAACTATATGTAAACCATTGGAAGCAAATTTCTTCTACAGACACGGAATATTTTCACCAATATTCTTAAATTATAGTTCCTCTGAAATGCCTACTTGTTAAAGGGAGTTACTCTATCCAATTACAATTCAGAGATAGTTGTATAAAGATGATAAAAGCCAGGAAAATTAGTAACAGTGTCAATATGATATGACATCTGATTTAAGTTTTAATTAATATTTATCTTCTCTTAAAATTATGTTTACAATGTGTCAGTAAAGTACATATATTAACATAATTGTGTAGTCAGACTCCTCCCAAGTATTCCAGAGGCTTGGGGCAGATTTCAGTTATGTGCTCAAAACATAAGAAGAAAACACAAAATTTTGGGGGTCTCTATAGAAAATTATTGGAAAGAACAATTTAACACTAAAAAGCAGGTAGAGTTGAGTTGACTCTTAAAAGCTTTAGTCTAAGTAAAATGGAAATTGCAGTAAATTAGGTTTATTGCTTTTACTGCATCATAAAACAAATTGGTCCAGCACTATTTTGCAACAGGGATACCTGGGAGAAGCAACTCGGTTCATAAGCAGCTGCTGTACAACTTCCTAACTATCCTTCTCTTTTACAGTGAATGCATCAGTCACAACAGGGAAACTATGCTCAAGCATCTTTGAAGTATTTCAACATAGTAGTGTTTCACAGGCTATGATTTGTAAGTAGAAGCTTGTTTGATTTATGTACATATAAGGCTAGGTTCTTAAAAATCATGGAAACTGTTTTATAGGTGCATTAGCTTACATTATTCTTCAGAAGGTGGTTTAAGCATTTGGCTAAAAAACTCAATGACAAAGAAGCTGCTGACATATGCAATTTAAGAGAAGAAGGGAACCAAAAATTCCTGAATTTGTCAACACAAAGTTTCAAGTGGCAGTAATAAGTTAAAAATCAAATAAAATTAAACTTCAGATTCTAGGAATACCTCTGTAGTCAGTTTTCATAATTTCTTTACATACCTATACAACTGAACCAATACAAAGGGAAAGCACAAAACTACTGCATATAAGCAGTATCAAATGTACAAGAAAAATATTTTAAAAACCCACAGAAATACCTGTAAACAAAATGCTTTGGACAAAAGTAAAACATGGCAGTCTGAAGTGAAGACAGACTTCCAGTTCCAAAAAATGATGGACTGAGATTCTTCACAGTGTCAGTTTCCAAGGTGGAAAATAAATAGTGCCTTGAACACACCTGCACAACCCTAACACCTTGATTTACACACTCCTTTCCCTGCTTTGAGAAATAAACCAATCATTGAAAGCTATAGTGTTTTTAAAATTTCAAAAGCAGAATTTGTACCTCATAGTCTGGCCCTCCAAAGTGGGACTTCTTCTTCAGTTCTGTCACAGCATTTTTGTATGCTTCTTCAGTTCTTCTCCGTTTTTCTACCTCCTGTAAAATCACACAATCGTTTGATGCAATGAGAATGAATTGACTGGTAACAGTCAACATGCCAATAAATGGAATGACCAATATAGTTGTTTTTCCAAGTAACAATTGCAAAGCTGCTGAGTTTTCCAAATTTATTTGCAGGCATGCCAATGTGTGTGCCCTATACAAGCACATACAATACAAAACTTGGGGAGCTAGCTACCTTGATGATACCTTCTTTAAGTCACAGTGAATAAAATAAAAAGTGGTATCTAGTTTAAACACATCTATTCATGGTTCATTGAGGATCAGACTTTGAATCTGACTGACAGTTTATGTAAACCTCCTTGACAAAAATGTTTGGGCAGTGATAAGAAAGGATGAACAGACTGGTAAAAAGCTAACTTGTTTAATGTGGTGAGGTACTAGTGAGTCATAGCATGTAAGTTTGTATCTATAATTAGCTGGCATAAGATCAACGTGAATCATTTTGTGAACTCCATGCAGAGACTGACAACACCATTTCCCCATAACAGGTGCATGACTGCACTAGGGCCATGGCTGATGCTTGTGCAATTGTGTATTTTAAATAAAACAGTAGTAATTCTAAAACCAGATTAAGGCTAGTATTTCCTTCTGCAAATCCTACATACTGCCAGATATTCTCAGTGAAAAAGCTATAAACACCTCTGAAATGCTTGCAGAATGCAACTTTAATACACACAATGTTTCTCTGTCCCCTTTCAGAATCACTTCAGGTGGAGGAAATCTAAGTCTTACAGGTCACAACTGGACACCATGCACTACATCTTGCAGATGTGAACTTATGATTATTCAGCAACCCAATTTTAACTTAATGATTCAGAGGTAATTCCTTATGCAATACTGAAAGACTGAGTTTCCCAGCTGGGAATTTGGTGATAACATTAATCCTGGAATACATTTTCCAGTTCTAAAGAAAAGTTTGGAAAGTAAAGCAACAGTTTTGATATAAAACAAAGTAGTTTTCCAAGGGAAAATTCTTGGGAAAAAAAAGTAGCACTTAGATGAAGACGATACTGTCTTACCCTGTGAACATAGGCTTTTCCCTTCCAAACTATCACAAAGCAGCAATAACTGCTAACACATTTCACAAAAGTTTACACATTTCCTTATTGAAAGTAACTGTAGAGTCCTAATGATGCATAAAGCCATGACTTGAGTATAAGTCATTGAGAGAAACCACAGAAGTTTTACCAGAACACTTAGAATTAAAAATGAACCAAAAAACAACTCCTCCTCCCACTCACCCTAAATCCCCACACTTCCTGTACTTCAATATGCAAATCAGCAGTAATTTGCATGTGTCGAAACACAACTCTCCTAATCTGCCAGCTTCACTTGACAACAATGTTAAAAAAGGCAGAAATTGGGAAACTGACTGCACAGCAGAAATACTACTCATGTATTAAATCTCTAAAATTTATGAGGCATTTCAGTTATGATTGTCAAAGGTGAACAATACAAGCCAACTAAACACATTAAACTTAAGGTTAAATTTAACTTTCAGAAGGTAAATTTGCTCATTAATAGCAACTAGTAAGAGTAGAGGGAACAAAAAAAAGAAAAATGTTGTTGTAGTCAAGAAAACAAGAAAGGCAATATCACATTGATTTTGTTGCAAATAAAACAATAAATTACATACTAAAGCTTAAATCCTCTCTTTGTTTACCCATTTTACAAAAAGTCTATTTAAAATACATTCAGGGTACTCATATTGAAAAATATACTGCAGTGGACAAAAAAGTCAAGCTCAAGTTTAACAGTTAAGAGTAAAAGGTTGAAAGCAAACTTGGAACTACAATTACCTTTAGATAATATTTTGTATTAATTATATTCTGACCATCTGACTGTTTTGGTAACAGAAAGAAAACTAGCTATAGATTTCTACAGTTACAATCATTAAGTGCATTATTTTAGCAGTCTCCTTAAAAATTAAAATGATGTTGTTATACTAATTTCTTTCTTTCAAAGGTTTAGCTTCCAACCTTTAGAATGTAACTTAAACCCCTCCTATATATAAAAAACAGACTCACTTCATAACACTACTAATATGCCTAGTGAAACTGTAGTAATCTCCAGATTCAGTTCTTTAAAAATCCTACCAGCTAGAACATACAGAATCATCACAGTTGGAAAAGACCGCTAAGATTACCTAGTCCAACTGTCCACTGGGGGAGTGTGGCAGGGGGGCAGGGCAAGGGAACAACAGAACCCACCCAAACAGCAACAACAAAAAAAGCCGAACAATCACACACTCCACAAAACCAACAGAAACACACATCCCACAAAAAAACCCACCTTGTCTACTAGAGCATGCCCTGAAATGCCACATCTACATATTTATTGAATACCTCCAGGGATTGTCTCTACCACCTCCCTGGGCAGCCCATTCCAATGCTTAACCACTCTTTCAGTATTGGAATTCTTTCTAATATCCAGTCTAAACCTTTCCTGGCACAACTTCAGGACATTTCCTCTAGCCCTGTCGTTATTTATTCACTTGGGAGAAGTCACCAATGCCTGCCTCACTACAACATCCTTTCAGGTAGTTATAGAAAGCAATGAGGTCTCCTCCAAATTAAACAATCCCAGTTTGATCAGCCTCTCCTCATACAACTTCTTCTCCAGACTCTCCACCAGCTTCATAGCTCTTCTCTGGATATGTTCCAACAACTCAATGCCCTTCCTGTAGTGGGGGCCCAGAACTGAACACAGACAGCACTTGAGGTGTGGCATCACCAGTGCTGAGTACAGGGGGACAATCACCTCTCTACTCCTGCTGGTTACACTATTCCTGATGCAGGCCAGGATGACACTGGCTTTCTTGGCCACCTGGGCACACTACTGGCTCATATTCAATGCCAGGTCCTTTTCTGCTGGACAGCTCTCCAGCCACTCATCCCCAAGCCTGTAGCATTGCCTAGGGTTATTGTGACAGAAATGCAGGACCTGGCACTTGCCCTCCTAGGACCTCATGCAACTGGCTTTGGTCCATTGATCCAGTCTGTCCAGGTCCTTCTGTAGAGCCTTCCTACCCTCTAGCAGATCAACACTCTTACCCAATTTGCTGTCACCTGCAAACTTACTGAAGGTGCATTCAATCCCTTCATCTAGACCATTAATAACGACATTGAACAGGACTGGCCCCAAAACTGAGCCCTGAGGAACACCATTGGTGACCAGCTGGATCCAACCCCATTCACTGTCTGGACCCAGCCTCCAGCCAGTTTGTTTTACAACAGAGAACACCCATTTACAAACATAGACAACCTGTCTATGTCATGTGCTGCCAGCTAGGAGAATGCTGTGGGAGACAGTGTCAAAGGCTTTACTGAAGTCTAAATAGACACCATCCATAGGTCTTCCCTTATCCATCAGGAAGGCCACCTGGTCATAGAAGGAGAATAGTTGGTCAGGCAGGACCTGTGCTCCCTGAATCCATGCTGGCTAGGCCTGATCCTGTGGCTGCCCTGCACTTGTGGTCTGAACTCACTCAAAATGAGACTCTCTACGATTTTCCCTGGTCCTGAGATTTCTCCAGATCATCCTTCCAGCTCTTCTTGTGGATTAGTGTCATATTAGCCACCCCCCAGTCATCTGGGACCTCCCCTGTTGACCAGGATTGTGGTTTATCTTGATTTCAGTAAAGCATTTGACACCGTCTCCCACAGCATCCTTGTGGATAAGTTGATCAGGTATGGGTTTGGTGACCAGGAAGTGAGGTGGATTAGGAACTGGTTGAAAGGAAGGAGTCAGAGAGTTGTAGTCAATGGGGTAGAATCTGGTTGGAGGTGTGTTACTAGTGGAGTCCCACAAGGGTCGGTGCTGGGACCGGTGTTGTTCAACATCTTCATCAACGACCTGGATGAGGGTATAGAATGTACCCTCAGCAAGTTTGCTGATGACACTAAGCTGGGAGGAGTGGCTGACACACCAGAAGGCTGTGCTGCCATTCAGAGAGACTTAGATAGGTTGGAGAGTTGGGCGGGGAGAAACATGATGAAATTCAACAAGGGGAAGTGCAGAGTTTTACATTTGGGGAAGAACAACACCATGTCCCAGTACAGGTTGGGGGCTGAACTGCTGGAGAGTAGTGTAGGTGAAAGAGACCTGGGGGTCCTGGTAGACAGGAGGATGACCATGAGCCAGCAATGTGCCCTTGTGGCCAAGAAGGCCAATGGCATCCTGGGGTGTATTAGAAAGGGTGTGGTTAGTAGGTCAAGAGAGGTTCTCCTCCCCCTCTATTCTGCATTGGTGAGGCCACATCTGGAGTATTGTGTCCAGTTCTGGGCCCCTCAGTTCAAAAAGGACAGGGAACTGCTCGAGAGAGTCCAGCGCAGAGCTACGAAGATGATTAGGGGAGTGGAACATCTCCCTTATGAGGAAAGGCTGAGGGAGCTGGGTCTCTTTAGCTTGGAGAAAAGGAGACTGAGGGGTGACCTCATCAATGTTTACAAATATGTAAGGGGTGAGTGTCAGGGGGATGGAGTTAGGCTTTTCTCAGTGATGACCAGTGATAGGACAAGGGGTAATGGGTGTAAATTGGAGCATAGGAGGTTCAAGGTGAATATCCGAAAACATTTTTTTACTGTAAGAGTGACAGAGCACTGGAACAGACTGCCCAGGGAGGTTGTGGAGTCTCCCTCACTGGAGACATTCAAAACCCACCTGGATGAGTTCCTGTGTGATGTACTCTAGGTGACCCTGCTCTGGCAGGGGGGTTGGACTAGATGATCTCTCGAGGTCCCTTCCAGCCCCTAAGATTCTATGATTCTATGATTCTATGATTGTCGATAAATGATGGAGAGATGCTTAGTAAGCTTCTCCACCAGTTCCCTCAGTATTCAGATGGGTGAATCCCATCCAGCCCCATAGACTTGTGAGTGTCCATGTGCAGAAACAGATCATTAACTACTTCCTCCTGGATTATGGGGGAGTTGTTCTGCTCTCTGTTCTTATCTTCCAGCTCAGGAGGCTGAACACCCCAGGGGGAGCTGATCTGACTACTAAAGATTAAGGCAAAGAACACATTAAGCATCTCAGCCTTTTCTTATCCTTGGTTGCAATATGTCCCCCTGCATCCAGTAAGGAATGGAGATTCTCCCTTCCCTGGCTCTTTTTTTCTTGTTGATGTATTTGTAAAAACTTTTTTTTTTGTTGTTGTCCTTTATGTCAGTGGCCAAGTTGAGCTCTAGCCAAGCTTTTACCTTCTTAATTTTCTCTGTATGACCTAATGAGATCTCTGTACTCCTCTTGAGTTGCCTAGCTTAAGCTGAGCTGGGGCACTGAGGAAACAAAGCTCTTTTACTAATTACTGTTTATTTCTAATACTAATTCTGTTTATTTCCCAACAGTAATGTTTCCCAGAAAATTTATTTGACAAATGTGACTTAAAAAAGTTACAGGTCTAAAAAAGCTGAGCAACTTAGAACCTCTGAGTGTTCAGAAGATTTTGTTATTTTAATTTCTGGGAAAACAAGTCCAAATAAGCTTGTGACCCCCCTCTAAAAAGTATTTACTCATGCTGTATGGGGTATTGGTCACCTGAGACCCGAAGTGAAATTTAGATTTGAATGTGTTAACCACTTGCAACTAAAACCAAGTACTTTACAGTTAGTCCACATAAGAAGAAAAAACTGGCAAATAACTAATCTAAATGAATTCAAATCCTGTATTAATGTATTATTCTGTATTCACACACACTAACCTGGGCACTAGAATTTTTTTCTAAACAAAGTCTGATCAACAAGAGTGAACTACGTTCACTCAGTCCAAAGAAGAGAAGTCCAAAGAAGTCCTCCCCATAAAAATGGGGGGACTTATTAGTAGCCTTTCAGTACCACCAATAAAGTCATAAGGGAACTGAGCCAGACTCTTCACGGGAATCCACAGTAGAAGGAGGAAAAACAATAAGCAGATACTGAATAAGATTTACTCCAACTGGATATGAGGAAAAACTTTTTCACTAAAACAACAGTTGAGCAGAACAGGCTGCCCAGAAAAGCTGTGATGTCTCTAGCCTTGCAGATTTCACATTAGACTTGAAATCAGACTTAAAGCCCTGAGCAATCTGCTTTGATCTCAAATGGTCCTTCTTTAAGAAGGAGGTTGGAAAGAGAGAGACTTCTTGAGGTCTGTAGTCCAACCTGAATTACCCTAAGATCCAAGACTTGAAGCTTGTACAAAGGATCTGCTGTAATTCCTCCAACTACTTAGATGAAGCAGTAGCAAATTAATCATTGACAGAAGAAGCAGTACAGTTAGACAGGGTCAGGCCTTTGATATATGGATAAAGAACCCAGGAAATAGAGGCAAGGATTCAAACATGTATGTTGTCTGAATGCATTCATTTTTTAAATTTTGTGCCACTAAAAGTTATGGAGTAATATTTGAAGTGTTATATATACCACATGGAAATATGTCAAATGAAAAACAAGAGACAACAACAGCTGGAGGTCTGGACAGGACACCAGCCAGTGATAGCAGGATTCTAGAAATCAAAGTCTGAAGTACAACCTCACCATGCCTCCAGCACATCTCACAAGAGAAGATATTGCTCCCTTCAAGTTGCTATAGTGGCTGAGTAGGCGTAGCATGAACTATCACTGCCATTAGAATAACAGGTATTTCAAAACCATACACGTAAAAAAATAATCAATTAGTAGAACACATGGCTTAATCTCTTTAGTCTCCTAAAGGAAAGTGAAATAATTTGTATCTTAGAGAGACACATGAAGTTAGAACTGGTTGTTCTCAGTATTGTCATCATCTTTTATCACAATTAAAACATTTAAGAGATTTGCAACTCATTTTGCAAACATAGATAATTATGTCTCTTTTAGAAGGCTGTAAGCAATACATTTATTACTATGGAATATTCTCAGAGTATCTACAGATATTAAAAAAAAAAGGAATACTATCTGAAAAAAAAAAAGATGAATAGTCACCAGTCAGGATGAAGCTTTACTGTTTTACAGGAGTAATAATGAAAGCACATAAAATTAATAAATGCTGTACATAAAAATAAAAGTAATAACTGAAAAAAAAACAACACCAGTTCATCTGAAATTTAAATTTCATGCTAAAGAAACTTATTTCAGCAAAATGAAAGGGAAAGTTATCTTACCTTATCTACCCTTTTTTGCCAGCTTTCTTCACGTTTTACCATGAGTTCAATACAATGAGAGAGCGTAGCAAGTATTCCAGCAGTAGTTGCCTTGAAAGTTATAGCTTCTCCTTTAAAGTCTATGCCATTAATTCCTTTCGGTGTCACATGTGGAAACACTAGAAACAAACATGAATCATTCACAGATAGCAGCCTTTAAGTCAAAAGAGCATTTTACATGTGTAATTATATTACAACTGTTTGAAGAAAACAGACTAGCTAGAAAGTTAATTCAATAAGTAGAAATCAAAAGTGTTTATAATTTTCAGCTATCCACAGAATAACTAGAAAGGAGGAACACCTCCCTTCAGCTTCATCTTGCTATACTGTATTTCAAGTCCGCCTGTAATGCTGTATTACTCTGCACTCTGCAAATCATGTGGGTGGAGGGAGTGGTAATACTTTGTAACAATAGCAGTTTGACAGCTTGAAGTGGGGCCTAATTAATACAAAGCAACCTGAAAACGAATCTGATACAGCACTATGAAATGCACGATTTCAAAATGAAATCAAACCCAAAATGTAACATTCAAGGTTGCTTTAAGCTGGTAATTAGAGATTTAAAAACCTCAAAGTAAAATGGTATAAGATAAAAGTATAAAATGCGTTGAATTATCCAAGTGCTGTGAGGTTTGCAGTTCCAACAACTACTTCATGCTGTCAACCTAGCCATCTGTTGCTAAGGCTATTTAAATAAGTCACTTAAAATATGTTACAAAAAAAGTACCTATTATATGTCAAACTCATATGTAGGTTGACATAATAACAAATCAAACACTACACATTAATGGCAGAAAATACTAGAAAGCAAAATAACACCCATGTTGAAGCTGACTGAGCCCAGTAAACTGAAGTAGATCCCGCTATGCCATGGGGCCAGCTAATGCCTTGGTACCCAGCTGGAAATCACTTTTGGCCTCCTAGTCTGTCAGTCTGTCAACATGCCACTGTTACGGTTTAAAAAGTGAAAATAAGTAATTGTGTAAGTTTACCCAGTATCTGTCTGCAGGGGCAAAGTAAAGCTTCCAAGCAATTCAGTTCTTGTAAGGAAAAGAAATGCGATTGCTGTTCTCTAATGACAGAGCACAGTATCTACACTTTGGGAACAAAAAGCAACTGTGACATGGTCTTAAGCAATGGTTTAAGTCTCTGGAGGTTTTAAATACCCTCCCTGTGGAAGGAATCAAGCTCTTTTTCAAACAGATGATTACAGACTACACAGTGCTTCAAATACCTCACAAAGCATACATACTGTGGTGGAATACAGCTTATTTTATGTTTCACGTTAATAAAGAAAGGTAAACAGTGGGGCTGGAGAAAAAAAAAAGGAAAGAAAGAAAAATCTGTTTCAAAAACAATAACGAGGAGCACAGCTCTCCTTCCCCCCTACCAGCTGCAGAGGGAACACAGAGGAGGTGAGACTGAAAGTGGTATAAGCTGGCAAAGAGGCGGTGCAGTGGATTCACTGAGAATAACGAACATTACACAACAAGAACTTCACCCATAACACTTGACTGAAAAATACAGTTTATACTAATGATTTGTAGTGCTGCTAGAGACTGTGTTTATGCACAGGTTTACTAGCACAACTATAATGCTTGTAGATGTGATTTTTCTCTCATGATTATGCAACATGCTAGAAATGCTGAAGAACCTAACACTGGCTGCAACTCTTGGATAATTTCAGAAATCTCTGTGGTAGATTTTAAGGGAAATGCAGCAATGTAGCCTCATTTCTTGGAAAAATCCAGCTTTTGTTCCTGGATGTCTTTAGGTCTCAGCTACAGCTCATTAATACTTCAGTGATAAATGCAGAGCTTGCTGTTTTTCAAGTCAGTGTCCCTAATTTCTTTAAGCCATTTCAATTATGGACAGAAATGAACTGGTTGCAGAAAGATGCAAAAATGTTTCTTTGAAAAGAGGGTAACTCAAGAGATTCTTTACAATTGGCTGGAAATATTTTGATTAATTCATAATCACAGGAGACATTTTTCTTCCTGGAACATGTCAGATGACCTGAAGTCCCATCTCAGTACTCCCTCTCAGTTGGGCTTCAGCACATGGGAAGTATTTGTCAGATTCTCTATTTGGACAGCTCAAACTTGTTTCCTATTCTTTTTAACCCATTTTTAATGGCAGCTTACAAAACTGAGCATTTCAAATTTACATCTGACATTAGGAGATGTATATGATTCAAAGTAAAGGCTAATAGGAAAGTGTTCTTATCCTTGAACTGCTCTTCTAAGCTTGGTGATTGAACTGCACGCAGCCAACTAAAAAAAAAGGCAGTAGGATGATTTTTCTCCTACCTTAATATCAACATCTTCCAAGTGGTTCCTTTTAAATCATCCTACCTTTCAAGCACTTTGCTTTAGTTCTGATTTGTTTTCTCTTGCCTTTCACATAAAGGATTTCTCATACCATTCTTTAGCCTTCAATAACTCTTCAGCTCTTCTCTCCTCAACTTTATGTCCATTAGCATAGGTCAGTTTTATTCTCCTGCTCTTAAGATTCTGATTATAATACTTTCTCATATGTTCCAAACACAATGTGTGCTCAAACATATTTTTCAGTGAAAGAGAAAAATATTTTAAAGAACAAGTAAGTAGAAAGAAGTTCCTTTATCTCTTCAATTTTTGGTTACTTTAACATCTTACATCACTAAACAAATTCTAAATGAAAAAGAAACACTGGGGTGCATGACCCATTTATTCATGCCTACTGTTATTGACGTTCTGTGGATAGTAGCAGGATCAATACAATTAGTTTTCCTCTATGAACAACCCCATTATTTCTGCAATATGTTGGTGAATATTCTTCTTCCATTCAAAGCACAAAAATCCAGTGTAAATCCCACTGTTCTATATAAAATTTCTCTTCTTCAGCCTCTGCGCCATTTCCATCTTTGTACAAGATCCAGTACAAAAACACCTTCTCTATTCAAAGAGCTTTCTTAAGTAGGTTTCACCTGCTCTTTCTATTCTTACATAATTTGAACTCAAATGTGCTACTTTTCCTGAGTGGCTGGACAGGAGCACTTGCTGATTGAAATTCTACATTCTTAGAATATAAGACCCCAATTGGTAAAAATGCATCAGCTAGAGACACTCCCTTGGTGTCCTATACAAAAGTTCAGTGCTTCAGTTATCAGATTTTTTAACTGGAAATTTAAATTTAAATACCCTTCACAGCTCTTCAAAGTTCTTAGGGAACACAGAAAAGAAAAAGCCTCCTTTGGTGGTTTGGTTTGGAAGGTTTTTTGGCAGTAGGGGCTGAACCACTGCAGAATAGCCCAGAGTCAACAAGCAATCACTTCTGAGCTGAAAGGCTGAGGCAACATGATAGGCAAGGAAGATTTATTTTAAAATTGAGTTACATGCTACCTAACCTCTGCAATCAGCATTGCAATTAATCCTCATCACAGTGAGCACTTTATATCATTGAAAGTATTTACTCACATGATGAATTCTGGAAGGACACTGAAAGTGCCTTTCACTTCCTTTCCTCTTTCATGATAACAGTTTCAGCTATGCTCAAGAAAGGGCACTTACATACATCAAGAAAAGACGTGACCCATGGGGACAACAGCAAATTAAAAAGAAAACAGAAGGCACAGGAAAGGCTAATTTTTCCCATATATTTTCAAGGTTATTGATGGAAGTGTTTACATTTTTATAAACGCTTTTGGTGAGTATTTCTTTGTGAGTTTGTCAGATTTGAAACTGGAGGCAGTGCAACTTCCAAGTTTTGTGAATCAAAGTCTAAAAAATACCCTAGGAATAACTGAATTGTCAACATCTAGAGAATGTAAGCACTAAAATATTTCGGTTAGGAAACAAGAGAAAGTTTAAAAAGAATGCAAATAGATTTTAAATGCAGACACATAATCTGCCAAGCCGGAAGTACCAGATTTCTAGAAAAGAAAAACTTGCACTGGTTCTTCACATTTACTGCAAGAATATGAGTACAACAGCTACATCTTTCAAGATACAAATAAAAATCAGAATTATGTTCATTAAAAATGGAAAATACAGTAAAAAAGTGCTAAAATTATGATGAGTGAGAACCACTAACAGTGTTTAAGTTATGTAGCCATAGAACCTGGAAAAACCATAGTGGGACACACCTAAGCATTGTACCCCACCACACTCCTAAAGCAGGTAAGACTTGCAAGAAAAACTGCAACTACCTGTTACAAATTTCAGTTCCCAGTATCTGAATGATGCAGCTCTTTCAGTAGCATTTGTTAGTGAAAATGGTTTTGAACACAGGAGAGGAATTTCCAGCTTGATAAGCCTTCATTAACATTTGTGTAAATTTTAACTCAGAAATCATGGAAAGCATCTAGTGAATGGTAAGAACTTCCTGTCATACACATTTAAAGAACTATTCTTGCCATTTTTTGCTTAGAAAAGAGCATACTCATATCAAGCTTATCATCATACCATTCACATGAATTTTCAGTGAGAAAGTTGGGATATACTTACGTTTTTCCTTACTGCTGTTACTGTTATGTAAAAAATCCCCATCAGAACGCATTGTAGGCAAATCATCTTCATCATCTTCTACCACTAAATTTGAGGAAGAGTGTGTTATGGGAGCAAGAAAGCTTTTCTAGTTCTTAGTGTGCAAGAAACAATTAAGAACATCTGTAAAGCTAAGCAGCATTTAAGATTGTTCCCTCTAGCCTTTTTTTTAAATTTTTTTTGACCAGAGACCACTATGAACACTGCATCACAAGACTAAAATTTGCACAGTGTTGAAGTTTAGCATAGCATTCCATGGTAAAAGCAACAACTATCTACTCTTCTACAAAAGAAAGTTTGCAAACAACCAGGATTATACTTATCTACTGTGTTCTTACTAGCAAATTTTTCAGGCTGCCAGAACAATCCCAGGGATGAATAGAAATGCCTCAGAGAACGTGGATGTGACAGTCAGCTGTTCTCTGAGAAGAAAAATTCCCACATCCACACCTCAGTCTACTAGGACCTCAAATTTGCACCCAGTGCTCTAGCTTCACCCAATACATCCCAGGAACATGCACTATGGCAGCATCCTTGCCTTTACAAAAGAATATGATGTTTCTGTTTTTTATTGGTTTTCCAAAATAAAAGGTAAGAGACATAGCAATAAACTAACTTAAATTCATCATTTCAAAGCTTACTAATGTATAAAAAGCTAAATTCTATTGAGATAAGAGTTTTTAGTTATCGTTTTACCTTTATCCCGCTGGAGTTCATCTTTGGAAACTGCATCTGCACAGGCATCAAAGTATTTCTGTAAAGTATCAACTTGTCTGCACAAGATGTCTCTAAAGGTTTCCATTTCTGCAAGCTTTTCACGTAAACTATGGCCCTTCTGAAAATACAAGAGAAAGCAGCCTGAAGAACTTCTACAAACTCAGCAAAAGTTCAATGCACTAAAAAAACCCTAATACCTGCAGCTATAAAGAACAAATTCAAGTACACTAAGGACATTTTAAATACCAGCAGCTATGAAATACTGTTAATGTTAGAAGAAGGTAAGAAACTGTAACAAATGTTCCCTACTCATTTTGCTCACTGGTCAGAATTTTTCCTCTTGACTGCATCTGCTGCTTTGGAGGGTTCAACAAGTTTATTAAGAAGGCAATCTTGCATGCTACCATGCCGATGTGCATGAAAACAGTCAGCTCCAGTTTAAGAAGATTGTTCCAATCTTTACCCCCTTTTCTTTTGTTGCTCCTTCTCTGCTCTCCCAGAAATACAGCCCACCCAAGTTCACATTAAATATTTAGATGCATGAGACAAGGAAAGCCAACAGTTGTCAATATAAATAAAATTATTAAGTCACAGAACCTTAATTTGCTTTCATTTAGAGGCTCTGATATTGAGGAGTAAACTTGGAAAGGTCAATAAATGCTCCCACAAGAGAGTTTCCTGCAGAGTCATCATATGCTGAATTATGAAATCTTACAGTAAACCAAATATTTTGCTTTTTTTTTTTATAGTTGCATGAACAAGTCTTCATGCAAGTTATTTCTTTTCTAGTTGTGCATGTTACTTACACACCACTACTAACAAAACTTTATTCACTAACCTTGAATGAAGAGGTGGACGTCGCAGAGTATCCACTTGCTCCAGACACAAGAGACACCATGGAGCCATGGCGTCGTAAACTTGACTCTGATCCATAGCCAGATTCAGTCTAAAAAACAAACCACATACAAAACTAGAGTGCTGAGGCTTCTATTAAAAAATAAACAGTGAAGCAAGATGTAATTTCCCCTGAAACCAGTCCATTTATGTCAGGAAGCAAAGGGCTTAATGACTCAATTTGTGCCTGGATATTCAAGATGTTGTTGCATTATTCTGGTTCGTGTAATCCCTAATTGATTTTCACATAGAATTACAAAAATCTACAGTACTTTACAATTATTAACGTGGTTCAGCTTGAAGACAGTAGTCTCAGTCAGTCCTTCCAATCATTCCAACAGTGATGTTTCTGTTTTAAAAGCAGTAAAATAGACCTAATAGAAAAATAAAAATACTGCTACCAAGGTTGGTTGTGTTTTTTTGGTTTGTTTCAGACTTCTTCAGCAAAATTCTTTATACTGGACTGAAATATTTTTTTTTGCAAATAACAAAAGTCTACACAAAACAAGGTGAGACACTTAAAACAAGAGGGAGAAGACAACATTAGTAACTAAATAATTTTTAAACCCCCCCTTTATTTATTAAAATAACATAAAAAAGATCTAAAAATACCAAGTTTGACAAATTTCCTCACAAATCAAGCAGAAGCTGATAATGAGGAACTGGAAGAAAAATATTTCGATATAGGTCAATGTAGACAGTCTGTGCATGGCAAAGGAGAAAAGAAACCCTGAAAAGACTGTAAAATAAAAAGATGTTTCAGAGCAATATTTGAAATACTGTTAATGAATGAGTTTGATTAAGTAGACAGTGTCAACATTATGAAGGACTTTTGACAGAAGAAATTATGCAGTAGCATAGAAATTCAGATGGGACAGGGAGAAGGGGATGATAGAGAACAAACAAGAAGCAACAATGAAATTCTAGCTGTTGTACTT